TGTAGTACACCATTTTTTATACCGTTCCAAAAGTGTTGTTGACTTTATGAATTGAGGCGGATGTGATGATTAACATGTATCATTAACATTGTGGATAATGTTTTATAAATTTAAGTTTCATTTTTCTTATCAGCAGAGATGAAAGTATGACATATAGCGTTGTATTTTCTTAGATCACTTGAATGTCTAGAATTAGAATGTTAAAGCTGAGCTGCCAAGTGCTTTAAGTTCAGACTCCACAATCTACGTGACATAATAATCTATATGTCTATTAATCTTTGGCGCTCCCAAATGATGTGAATTACGTTTATTTTAAGTTTCCCACAAGTTTGTTTTATTGGTGTCATTCTCATCAATTTCATGTTTTGTGGAGCATTTTTGAAATGACATGGTAGAATATAGAAATATATAAAGACATGTAGGGATGTTGCCAAAGTCTTTTTTGAACTTAAACATTTTATTGAAACAATTTTAGAATGTAATTTTGCTGTATCATCATGTCTGTTAATGTATTTTGTTATTATGTCCCCACCACATAGTGTGGGGCCATATTGTCGGCCTAGGCGCGTCCGTCTGTCCGTCCGTCTGTCTGTCCGTCTGTCTGTCCGTCCGTACGTCCGGGAGTTTTCTCCAAAACCGCTGCAGATATCACCTTCAAATTTTCAGGGATAATTTATGAGTGCATACAGATGTGGATGAAAAAAAATTAACTCGATACCTACTTCCTGTCGGCCATTTTGAAGTCAAATGCTAAAATCCTTGTCTGCAAACTTTAAGAAAAACGGCTTCACAGTTGCTTTTAAAACTTTAACATCTTGTTCAGCTCACTTCATTCTAGATCTGATTAGGTTTTGGACCTGTTAGCTCAGTCATGTCAGCCATTTTGAATGTTTTAAGAAAAGTTAGCGCACGATAATACTTTGTATCATATTGAATGGTGTTTTTCAGTTTTCATGTTTGTTTTATTGGTGTCATTCTCATCAATTTCATGTTTTGTGGAGCATTTTTGAAATGACATGGTAGAATATAGAAATATATAAAGACATGTAGGGATGTTGCCAAAGTCTTTTTTGAACTTAAACATTTTATTGAAACAATTTTAGAATGTAATTTTGCTGTATCATCATGTCTGTTAATGTATTTTGTTATTATGTCCCCACCACATAGTGTGGGGCCATATTGTCGGCCTAGGCGCGTCCGTCTGTCCGTCCGTCTGTCTGTCCGTCTGTCTGTCCGTCTGTCTGTCCGTCCGTACGTCCGGGAGTTTTCTCCAAAACCGCTGCAGATATCACCTTCAAATTTTCAGGGATAATTTATGAGTGCATACAGATGTGGATGAAAAAAAATTAACTCGATACCTACTTCCTGTCGGCCATTTTGAAGTCAAATGCTAAAATCCTTGTCTGCAAACTTTAAGAAAAACGGCTTCACAGTTGCTTTTAAAACTTTAACATCTTGTTCAGCTCACTTCATTCTAGATCTGATTAGGTTTTGGACCTGTTAGCTCAGTCATGTCAGCCATTTTGAATGTTTTAAGAAAAGTTAGCGCACGATAATACTTTGTATCATATTGAATGGTGTTTTTCAGTTTTCATGCTTTAACTTTTTAGTAGCTTTATAAATAATTTCAGGTGTACTTTGTTGTAAAAGCTTATGTTATTGTTAACAGTAGGTATATGTGATAATTTTGTAAAAAGATTTCAGCAAAAACTCATAATCACTTTTTTATTGTCGGCCATTTTGGATTTTTCCGTCCTAAAATCTTGTCTGTAAAGTCTTGTCTACGCGTTTTCAGGTGAACCGTTTGGTAGATCAATTTCAAATTTTCAGGGATGATTCTTAGTATGAGAATCTAGATCTGATTAGTTTTTGGGCATTCTGGGTAAATGTCAAGGCAGCCATTTTGGATTTTCCGTCCTAAAATCGTGTCTGTAAAGTCTTGTCTACGCATTTTCAGGTGAACCGTTTGGTAGATCAATTTCAAATTTTCAGGGATGATTCTCAGTATGAAAATCTAGATCTGATAATTTTTACGGCATTCTGGATAAATGTCAAGGCAGCCATTTTGGATTTTCCGTCTTAAAATCTTGCCCGTAAAGTCTTGTCTACGTGTTTTTAGGTGAACCGTTTGGTAGATCAATTTCAAATTTTCAGGGATGATTCTTAGTATGAAAATCTAGAACTGATTAGTTTTTGGGCATTCTGGGTAAATGTCAAGGCAGCCATTTTGGATTTTCTGTCCTAAAATCTTGTCTGTAAAGTCTTGTCTACACATTTCCAGGTGAACTGTTTGGTACATCAATTTTAAATTTTCAGGGATGATTCTTAGTATCACGGGGTACCATCGAATAATTTTGGCAACGTACCGGAGAACGACATTTTACTAAGAAATGGCAATAATTTGGCACATTATATTTTTTAACTAGAGTTCTACTTTGATTTTGACAAAAGTAAGTATTCCATGCAATGGCTATTTCATTCATGAGTTTGTAGGAATTCTGTTGAAACCCAGTTCTGATCAAGTACGAAGTTATTGAAATCGGCGCAGTCGGACTTTACTCCGAAAGATGGTTTTTCGATTATAACTTTTTACAACATTTAAGTATAGACTTAATTAAAAAAAAAGTTTTAAAAATATTACTTAGGAACGTAACCGGAGCTGGGAACGTAACCGGAGCAGATCAGTTGAATTATATAATTTAAAAAATAAAATATATGATTTAAAGCATATATATTATTTACAAACACATATGAATGTTAAAATGAGCATTTATTACCCTTCACTTACAGGAAAATCAATGCATCGAAACAAAGATGGATAACAACTGGTTTTGCATAAAACAATAAACGGGCACTCACTCAAACATCTTACGTTTATATGGAGGGGGGGGGGTTAGGTGAAGAATTTCAGAGAGCATATGTTGATTCGATTTGGTCGAGCACATGACAAGTACATAACACACCTACGCTATATACAGTTCGTTGTATCCTAACTTTTTTAATAATCTAGGATTTAAATGCTTTTATTTCCCCTGAAAAAGAGAAGTTGTCTTAGAAGTATAATACATATATGTATGTATAAACAGTATATATATACGAAATTAGTATAACAGAGTGGGTTCTAATAGTTCGCTGAACAAATACAATGGGTGAAATCAAATGGAATTATTTGCTTACTACATTTAATCACTTCATTCTCCATACAATGATTGTTCTATGTTTGATAGCCTTTCTAAGGTAAGTGCACTTATGCATGGTAAATACCAAATTTAATTTTTCACAATGGATAATTTTTTTTCTTTAAATAAAATGTAATAAATACGCATTCGAACAATCCCGTATGTTTTTAAATTAGTATATGTGCTTTAAATCATATATTTTTTTGATTAAATAATTCAACTGATCTGCTCCGGTTACGTTCCCAGCTCCGGTTACGTTCCTAAGTAATATTTTTAAAACTTTTTTTTAATTAAACAAATCAGAGTCGTGTGAATCAGAAATAACAGAATTATTCAAAAGTATAAGGACTATTCTGTACTTTTTTCAAAAGTCTATACTTAAATGTTGTGAAAAGTTATAATTGAAAAACCATCTTTCGGAGTGAAGTCCGTCTGCGCCGATTTCAATAACTTCGTACTTGATCAGAACTGGGTTCCAACAGAATTCCTACAAACTCATGAATGAAATAGCCATTGCATGGTATACTTACTTTTGTCAAAATCAAAGTAGAACTCTAGTTAAAAAATATATTGTGCTAAATTATTGCCATTTCTTAGTAAAATGTCGTTCTCCGGTACGTTGCCAAAATTATTCGATGGCACCCCGTGAGTATGAAAATCTAGAACAGATTAGTTTTTGGCATTCTGGATAAATGTCAAGGCAGCCATTTTGGATTTTCTGTCCTCAAATCTTGTCTGTAACGTCTTGTTTACATGTTTTCTGGTTAACTGTGTGAGGGATCAATTTCAAATTTTCAGGGGTGGTTCTTAGTATGAAAATCTAGAACTGACTAATTTTTTGTCATTCTTGGTAAATTTTAAGATGGCCATTTTGTATTCTCCGTCCTCAAATTGTGTCGGTAAAGTCTTGTCTACTCATTTTTAGGATAATCATTTGACAGGATTACCCATAGGTGGGGACATGTACACATTTGTGTTCTTGTTGAATTTTGTTTTGTTCTGAAATGTTAGCAAAAAATCATAAAAATTCAGACTATGCGCTTTTATATGGATGATGTCATTTTGGAAGATTAAGTCATTTTAATTGAATTATGACATCATTGAGGAAATCAGAAATTAGTGGAAATTGTAATTCAAACTGTTTTCATATGGTTTACCTGGAAATTGATCGTGACATATTCGTGGCATTAATATTGTTCAATGTTTTCAATTTTAAAGTTGTGTCTATTAGCTAAGGGGGTTGATTCTATCATTTTGTCAAATGAACTTTGTTCTTCGACAATCAGAAGAGGTTGTGTCTGATCTAAGATACATTAAGTAATACATAAAGTCCTGTGATTTGTTATCTTTCATTCAGCTATTTCAACAAGATTCATTGTGATGCAACTATTTTTGGATCGTTGAAATTTATGAGGTCACCTGAAGGATAGCACATATTTGATTGGTTAGTGATTGTCATGTGACAAATAAAAATGATTTGATTGGTTAGATGCCCCTGATAGGTTGGTTGATGAAGGAGGAAGTTGAAGGTTACGTGATCCAAATCAGATATTTTGTAAACTAATGATGCCCAGATTTGATTGAATGAAATGTTTTAAATAGTAAATACAGTAGTCTACAAGTGTTTTATTTATGTGCCACTTATTTTCTTTATGATATTACAAAATGTTGCAATGTGGATTTTATGGGAATCCAGCTTTGAAGTGTTCATTACTTAGAAGTGTCCTAAATATGTCTATGGAGGCACTTTAGATAAACATTGATTCATATAATCCACTCATACTTCCCTTTTTGTTTAATATATTAACATGTATTTTGCAGCTGATGATAATGAAGATGATGAAAACACAGTTGCTCAAGATGACAAAGAGGAAGATCTGAAAAAGGTAATTACGTTTTTTCAATATAGATGGCTCCACTTTCTTCATCATATACCTTGGCATCAGAAAGAGGCTAGAAATTCATTTGAATTAAATTATCCGTGGTATAACCTAAAATTGTTTGGTAATCATGATATCTTAAAATTTCTCCATTTCATAATAACTGAAATTCAGGTTGCAATCTATTCTAGGAAACACATGAAATAATGCTAGGAAACAAATGAAACATTGTTATTTCAGCAAGAAGATGAAAGAGGTGGAACAGTAGAACAAATGTCCAATCCAATCTCTGGTGGTAAGATGTCACTGAGGCAGAGAAGTCCTCAAAAGACACCAAAAGATGTCAGCAGCGAAGAACAATCAGAATTTTTCAAGATAGATGACCCAACTTTAAGTGTCAAAGCAGAAACAGCCAATGATCCCATCTTCCCACAAAATGAACTTATGATTGACCTCAGTCGACCTTCCAGTGACGTTGAGAGTTCAGATGATTTAGTGTCGGCAAGTTTGGTAAATTCTAAGCATGCTGGAAATGTAGGTGTCGCTAGGGTAGCTAATGGCAGTGCTAAGCAACGGCGAAAATGTGATAGGGTTGGTGGCAGTATTGTATATTATTAACACTGCTGTAAATCATGGTCATATCTTAAAGAAAAAAAAGAGTCAAATTACTCCTTAGTCATACTATTTCTCATGGTTTGTCGTTGATGTATTTGAAACTCTAAAATGTACAAAAATTCAGGCAGTTTGGTGAAATCTTTGTTAGGAATGAAGCAAAATTAGATATGACCACATATTTATAAGCATTTGCATGGGGGTGATTACAAATTCTGTTGACATAATATGACAGGTTTCTGTCAACTATATGTGATAAACCTTTAAGCAAATTTTCTTCATAAATCAATGATATTTCAGTGCATGTTTTAGATTATGTTAACAAGCAAAATATTTAACAGATTAAATATTCGGATTCACCCGTAAAATGAAAGAGTACATAATATTTTTTTTTTAATTTTAAGGAGATTGACTCAAAGACCAAATCAAAATTTCAAATGGTTATATATTGGATTGTGTCTTTGTACTTCAGATCTATTGATTGCCTCTAAGAAAAGTATATTGACCTGTACAATGTTAATTAAGTCAACTGGACTCAGTGGTATTGAGGGTGCAATAAACCTATCATTACATAAATCATTTTCTTGGAGATCATAAATGGATATAAAAGATACACCTTCATGATCGGGAAATATTTAAAATCCAAGATATAATAGTCTGAAATTGTTTTCAATAACATACGTGCCTCTTTGTCATGTCCTGGAGTAATGTTTATGGCTGCGGGCAATCTTAACTTGCTAAAAGCATTCTGTGACCTCTAATATTATTTATATCAGTGATTTGATGCATCTTCGCTTGCTCAGATTCTAGAGGATTTGAAATACACATGAGCTCTGAGGATGAAAAATAGTGAAACATTTTTTGAATTTAGAAATGAAAATATATCGCAAAACACTTTTATAGTGTACATTTTTTGGACCACCCTTTACATATTAGAGCATGTCACATTCGCTCTATGCTTTAAACTGTAAAACATGGATGCTATCAGATACCATATTAGTGAATTCATTCAGCTTTACAAAATGACGGTAACAGGACAACTCATCCCTAAGACAACTCATCCCAAGACAACTCATCCCCAAGACATCTCATCCCAAGACAACTCATCCCAAGACATCTCATCCCAAGACATCTCATCCCAAGACAACTCATCCCAAGACATCTCATCCCAAGACATCTCATCCCAAGACAACTCATCCCAAGACATCTCATCCCAAGACATCTCATCCCAAGACAACTCATCCCCAAGACAACTCTTCCCAACTTGAAATACAACATAATTTTATATAATTAATCTCAACTTTTGAAAGAATATTTGAAACATATTTAGAGGTTTAAGCAGTTAGAACACAGTTTTTGGCCATGGAATATCTCTTGTATTTTGCAGTTAGTAGAGCCTAGTTTTAGTTCATTTTTGTTGCTTGATTGGGATAAAGATAAACATGTTCAAATTAATATATACTTTGATTGTTAAATCAAAGATAGATCATCAAGGGTGTCAGATTAGGATTAATGCAGTAAGAATGTATTATCTGGGGTATTATCAGAATAATTCTCCCAGATTAATGCAGTCTTTGTTTTAAAATATTTTGTTTAATTCCAATATGTCATATTTGGCTTATTCTTAAATAAGATTTCCAATTTTAAACATTCAGAATCATGATGATTGTATTTGGAAATTATGTCTTTGACTTTTATCTTCAATTCTATATTACTTTGTAATCTTAAAAATGAAAAAGGGATATACTATAGAGGACAAATTAAATAATTTATCAATTTTACTAGTGGGATGAGTTGTCTTGGGATGAGATGTCTTGGGATGAGTTGTCTTGGGATGAGATGTCTTGGGATGAGATGTCTTGGGATGAGTTGTCTTAGGGATGACTTGTCTCGGGATGAGTTGTCTTAGGGATGACTTGTCTTGGGATGAGTTGTCTAGAAACCAAAATGACTGGGTTGAACAAAATTAAATGTTATATTTGATCATAAATCTGAACTAGAAATTCAGTGCTTTACAGCTGTAAATGTGATAAAACACATTAAACATTGAAAATGTGTAAATTATTTTTTATCGGGATGATTTTAAATGTTTATTGCATATATTTGTTGTGTTATAATATCTTATTGTTGGCATGGTAACCACTAACTTTCATTCTAATCCTTCATTGCATGCTGCTTTGCTTGTTGCAGATTTGGAGTAGAATTCCTTTTGTGACATTCCATTTTCTTCTTAGGAGTAATCAGTGTTGTCTATATGTATAGTGTGTCGTGATTAGATTACAATACAATACATTAGAATTCAATCAAAAATTCAGAAAGTCTAGAAAATCAATGACTGTTTGTAATTTTATTCTGCTGGCTATCAAATTGAATTCATGATTTAAAAAAAAAATTGACTGTCCCTTGATACAGTTTATACAATAATTATACATTACCATTGAATCAGATTCCTGCCAAAATCTGTTTACCTGTTTTTGAGATTACATGTATTTTCAAATTCCTAAATTGCGCAGCAGTCAACTGCTTCATGTTGAAGAGAAAAATATGCACATATCCAACAATAGTCACAATAACCTGAATCTTCGAAGATTTCAATAATTTTTAATGATCCTCTTCCTATTTTAGATAAATCCTATCACAACACCAGACGGAATGATGAAATATCCGTGCCCAACGTGTGACAGGCTTTTAGAAACATCAAAAGCATTAACACAACATATACGCTCACATAATCAGTCAACGGCCCAGTCAACGATGAACTGCACAATTTGTAACAAAGTTTTGAGTTCTGTTAGTTCATTGGATAGACACATGCTGGTTCACTCAGGTTAGTTATATTATTTTGATATTTTAACATTAGATGATAATGTTGGTCACCACCACAAGTGGTGACATATTGTTATAGTCTCCAACTTTTTTGTGGATGGTGTTCAGCAGTTGGTTTGGAGTTTGGCATCTGTAACAATTGTTAGGTGGTGACATTTTGCATGTCAACGTCTTGTATTTATTTGTTAAGATGGTGAACTAAATGTAATAGTTAAAATGAATGCACATTTTCTAGGGGAAAAACCACACAAATGCAAGTATTGCTCAATGGCATTCACCACAAATGGAAACATGAACCGCCACATGAAAGTTCATGAAAAATCAGCAGAAAGTTCTCCAGTGCCAGAAGTTCAGCCAACCATTCCTGTTGCATTAACCAATGAAGTGACTTATTCAAAAAGAGGTCGCAAACGGCGTAGTAACCCAACACCAGAAGTTCAAGATAGTCGACCAGAGTTACGAAAAAGAGGCCGTCGTAGCGGCATAGAATTAGAATCTGATTCTACCACTTCAACACCAACATCATCTGCGACTAAGAGCATTGTGGGATCAAATGAAAGAGTAGAAGATGAGGTAAAAATGAAGTTGATAATCTAAAATTGTTTATATAAGATTATGAATAGATCTTAATATAACTAAATTTTGGTGTACATATTAATTGCTTGTCCTTCTACATCTAACTTATGATATTTTTTTAAAAATGACAATGTAACATTATGATAGCAGGTGATTTCATTATTGCTGATTTTGTAACTTGACAAAAAAACTATGGTTCCCATAGTAACCATTATTTTATTAACACTATGTTGACTGTCAATACTTATTGAACACTCTATATTTTTCTCAGGTTCCAATACCAGATGCATTGGAATTGTTTGATGGAGTCTTACCCCTGGTCTCCCCTTCAAAGAGACAGCTACAGAGGATTGCAGCAGCCAAGATGCAGGATCAGGCTACCGCTAAGAAAAAGATGGAATTGAAGGTAGGAACCTTAGTGTCTAAATGTTAATGTTCACTCATTTTCTGGTTGGATGTTTTCAATTAAAGACGCTTTCTTGTTTATAAGGTGTTATCTGGTCCTCTCCCACATTCATTTTCCCTAAGCTTTTTGAGTAAAGAAATCATGAACTTGATTCATCATCATAAAAATCATTCTCTATAGCATTGGAAAATTCTGTAATCTGTTCTGTTCTTAATTTGGCGTCAGCCCTGCATCTCGGGAATGACTCTTTAAACTAAATACATGTTTTAAAAACATTACAAAATTGTGTTGTTGTATTTCCAGACAGGGGATAAATGGGAGTACATAGTGCAGCCTAGCAGTCACCCAGAGCAGCTACAATGTCCAGTGTGCCAGAAATCTTTCCTTTGTAGCTATGGTCTGTCCACACATATGGAGATCCACCCAAACATCTCTGTACACTGCTCCCAGTGCAACCTTACTTTCCGCACCCCTAAAGGTCTTGAAACGCACAAACGTATGATCCATGGGAAGAAAGAGGGAGGGGGTAATGGCACCAATAATCCTATCCCGATAGGATTTCATGATTTATCATTCACTGATTTCTGTATCAAAAAATTTCCACTTATTTCGAAGGTTTGGTGTGAGAGCAGTCCCCGTCAGGCGAGTAGCGTGTTCCATAACTTTGAATGTGAGGCCTGTGGCCAGGCATTCCCTTGTGAAAGTGCGCTCATGATTCATTCAGAGTCTCACAATCTTAAGACAAAAACAAAGTGCCCATTTTGTGAGGGTGATTTCCTGAGTAATGCAACCCTGCGAACTCATCTATTGCAACATATGCCAAATAAATTATTCCTTGAAGCTCAAGCGAGACAACATTTGAGCGATTCTGGATCCAATACAATTCAGAAGCCCATTGAAGTGGAGAAAAATGATTTCATGGCTCTTATAGGTCTTCACAAGCCCTCAACCCAAAAGGACCCCTTGAAAGAAAAACTAGCTTTCCATGAGTACCGCTACAATGATAGTTATTACCAGAGACTGAATATTATGGAAAGTCTTGTCCTGACCCCAAAGAAACTTCCAGAAGTGGTGCATAATAAGGACAAAGAGAACTCAGATTTTGCAGATATTTCACAGATTTTGAAGCTAACAAACATGGGTGGGAATATCAATGAATTAGCCAACTCTCCGACTCAGATGCCTAAATTGAAAGCCATAGCCAATCAGGAGGAAGTTCATGCTGGTCAATCTCTTATGCAACCTCCTTCACTCCAACTCATGGGATCAACTACCCACCAGGTGTCTCCACTAGGGCCCATTCGAAATCCGTCTGCTGAGACTCAAAAAGAGGCTATAACCTTGACCTGTAAATATTGTCCCATGGTATTCAACAACTTCAGAGACAAGAAAGGTAAGTCACAAACCAAGAAATAATTTATTCCACTTTAATTAAGATAACAGCACCTCTTTATATGAAAGCATTATATTTTTCTAATTGGCGAATATTTCAGCCCATGGATGTGTGAGACAGTATGGCAATCTCTACATTTGCAGCAGATGTGGACATCGCAGTAGCGTAAAGGGCCCTATGGTTCGCCATGTTATGTAAGGGCTTATATATGGTCGCATACTAAATGCATGTCAATGCATGTCTTAACCAATCAGTATTTAAATCTAGCGTAATCTTGTAGTTCAACTCAAGACAAGACATTCAAATTAGATTTTTGCAAGATTTAGATACTGTAAATTACTAAAATAATGTTCATCAAGTAATGTAAAGAGAAAATTGTGAAAATAGACCATAACTATGGTAACATTGATTATTTACATTGAATGATAAACTCTTTTTAACTGACTCATAGGGTGCCGGTCATCACTGATTTTAATCAAGGTGTTACACATTTTCCTTGCTAGACAAAGCTATTAAACTAAAAGATGTTCCAAATATGCAATTATATTTCCAAATACTAGCTGAATGATACACCACATGAATATCAGTGATGATGATGATGCTTAACTCCTTCATGACTGACAATTTTGGGGAAAATGGAAAGAAATGAAAAACTGAAATGTAAATGAATCTAGAAGCAAGAAAATGAAGCAACACCCAATAAGTTATATGTCATTTTGAAGGGCTATACCCATACTTTATGTTTTTTGAAAAAAATGTGAATATGCAAATGAGATGGTGTCATTGTGACGTCATAATTCAAGATGGCGCAGTAGGATTTTTTTCAAAATATAATTATTTTAGCATTTATCTTTTATTGAGACTTCAATTTAAAAATCTGGAAACGCAGAATTATAGATCTTCTTATGCTGATTTCAGTGGTATTTATACCATGACATAACTCCTACAAATAAATTTTTTAGAGCTTCGAGACTGCAAATTCTCGGAAAATCCCTATGGCGATTTAACATGGGATTTTATCGTTTTCGAATTTTTCGCGCGCTCACCAGCTTCAGATCACTGTAACTTTGTAAATACTTAACGAAAAGTCATGAACTTTTTTTTAAAATGTTTGTACAGACTTCAGGATTAAATAAATTGATAAATCATGCATTTTTATCATCAGGGGTCCCTTGGAGACCCCTTAGAACAAAATCGATCATATATGATCGATTTTGGTTTTTGCTATTCTAAGGGGTCTCCAGGGGCCTTATTTCAATAAAACTGCAAGAAAAATGCATTTTCTAAAACAATGGACCAGTAGGAACATTTTAAAAAAAAGATTGTTTGAATCTGATGACTCTGTGCAAAGTTAGAGGCACTTGAATCTGACATGTCGCGAAAAAGTATCGAAAACGATAAAATCCCATGTTAAATCGCCATAGGGATTTTCCGAGAATTTGCAGTCTCGAAGCTCTAAAAAATTTATTTGTAGGAGTTATGTCATAGTACAAATACCACTGAAATCAGCATAAGAAGATCTATAATTCTGTGTTTTCAGATTTTTAAATTGAAGTCTCAATAAAAAATTAAATGCTAAAATAATTCCATTTTGAAAAAAATCCAACTGCGCCATCTTGAATTATGATGTCACAATGACACTATCTCATTTGCATATTCATATTTTTTTTCAAAAAACATAAAGTATGGGTATAGCCCTTCAAAATGACATATAACATATTGGGTGTTGCTTCCTTTTCTTGCTTCTAGATTCATTTACATTTCAGTTTTTCATTTCTTTCCATTTTCCCCAAAATTTTCAGTCATGAAGGAGTTAATACATGCATGGTGTCTTTCAAGAATATTGTTTCGGGAATACAGCCAATAGATGGAGTTAGGGAACTACCTTGACCTTTAATCCCATTTCAAGGTCAAACTTCATGCAGCTATATTTAGACGATTTAACCTAAAGGCATTACTCATGATTTCATGGTTTGATTGGATTCATCAATCAATCAAACAAAGCTTTAACCTTGAAAAGGTCGATTAAATAAATTGATACCCACATAAAGATCTAATGAACTAAAGCATGCATACTCACTTGTTAATATGAACATGGGCTTTCAATTTCAATCTAGTTGAAAGCCCCAATCTAGTTGAAAGCCCATGATATGAAACATTACAATTTCTTTATGAAATATCATATCAGAATGAAATGTGGAACAGAAAAACTGCGCTGATATATTATTTCATGAAAAATTGATAATCTTACAAAGTACAAAGCATCTTGTCTTGTGTGTCATCACCCCTGCATCTCCCCAGTGTATGTGTTAGTTGGTTTTTGGAAGGGTTCAATATGTCAATTAAAGGGGTGTTTGGTTGCTTGATTAATGGAATGGATTAGTTTTTTAAACAAGAAGAAATAAATACCCGTTTCTTGCGTGCTAAAAAATCAAAAATATTTTGCATCAGTAATTATGCATTTATCGCAACTTGTGTTGTGTTGAAACTGTAGTTAGTCAGTTTTGTGAATGTGGATGGTAAATGGTTAGTATGGATAAATATTTTTTTATATACTTTGTGTTTAAAACGACATAAAAGGTGAACACCACTGAAACAGCAAAAAGTGTTCAAACTATATTATGAGAATCACAATCTTTGATTTACATACAAACATCTGGTAGTTCCAATATGCTCCATCATTGACCCTTGTGCATGGACGAGGTCACAAAATGATAAGTGTTTTCCATCTCCCCTTTATTTTAAATGGAAATAGAGAGTAGAGGAAAGAACATAGGGGAATTTGGAGGAGTTGTTTCAATGGTGTTTGCTTTAAATAGGTATATCTTACAGGGTATCTTAATGTTGTTAAATGTGGCTTTTGATATTGTCATGTGTTCTGTTGTAGACTAGTGGAGGTGTATCACAAATATTTTATGAATTATTTAATTTCTTTGTTAGTTTTAAGATTAAAATCATATAGAATTCCACTAAAGATAGAAGTTAATATACAGTATTGTACACCTATTGTAATGTACGCAATTTCACTGACATTTTGAAATATTATTTACCTGAATATTATAATTTATTGATGATTTGAAGTGCAATACAGGATATATTCTGCTCAAGAAATTCTGTATTGGAACGAGACGAAGCCAATACAGAATATCGAGAGCAGAATAAATCCTGTATTACACTTCAAATCATTCTATAACATTTTATCGTGTAATCCTCTGTATTGCTACTGAGAATGTCCCCTCCGTACAAATATTTTCTGTATTGCTATGGAGATGATCAATGGGGACAATCTCAGTAGCAATACAGATTGGTACAGCACAAGAACTGACCAATCAGAAGGCTTCATTTTACAGATCATACGATAAATATAATTATTGAACCTTTCCATTACATTAGTCAAGTAAACTTTTTAACAATTTGTTCACTGGTTCATTGCTATTTATGGTACAAAATAGCAGTAAATGCAAAACACTCTCTATAAATCTGTGAATCTTTGAGTCTAGTCTCACAAACATGTTTTCATGAAATCATGAATTTTACAACAAAATTTATTTTGTAAACACAATTTTAAACTAGTTCTTTATGATCTGATCTATGATATATATAATTACAATTTTTTGATTACATGTTACAATATATCTAAAACCGTTACAATGATGATAATGTACTTTATTTTGAAACAATTTTTGAAATGCAAAATACAAAATACGTAGATAAATTCAATTTAAAGAAACCAACAAATTATGAAAACATTATTGTGAGATGGTCTCATTTTATCTTCAATTCTTTTCTTTAAGAATCATCAGCCACCCGATAACCTATCACAACTTTAAACTCACTTATATGCATGTTTCTTCCATTCTCTAGCGCATGTACGGATCCATCTTGGGCAAGCCCCATACAAATGTAATCTCTGTGACTATCGCAGTATAGATAAGAGCACACTAATACGTCATGCTAGAACTCATAACGGGGAGCGGCCGTTTCTATGCCTCGTTTGCGATTTTGCCTTCACGACGAAAGCAAATTGTGAGCGCCATATTAGGTAGGTAGACTCCGTGCACGTAATTCTGCCTTTGAGTCTTGCTTAAAACACTTTTCTGTTCACTTTTATTTTCTAACTATTATTTTTTGAATTCTTTGACTGGAAGTCTCTTACCTTTCAAGAAACAGTCTCTAGATTTAATCAAAATGTTCAAAACCTATTCAGTCAATAGTTCTTAACAACACCAACACCTTTACTACATCAATGTCTGACATCACTTATGTCATCCCAATATGACTGACATCACTTATATCATCCCAGTATGACTGGCATCACTTATACTACTAAAACAAAGAAAAGAGGTGACCCATACTACCACCATAGATTTTATCTTTTTATCACTAACATATATATTACATTAACAGAATCTTTAACGATGAATAGAATAATTTACTGCCATAAATTATTATATAAATAACCATTTAGGATACTTTTGGTAAGTGAAATTTATATGAAACAAGTTTCAACAAGTCTAGTTTCAATTAATACAATCCGCTTGTCAGTCACAATTTAGAAATATCTTATGGGTAGATATACAGGGTGTCCATAAAATCTCTACAATTACAATAAAAAGTCTATATAAAGTGTACTTTATAGACACCCTGTAAATTTCATCGCAAAATTTTATTTCTTCAGGAAAAAACATGGCTACACTACAAGAGCCGAAATAGAAGCAACAATCGGCTACAATGAAGCTCAGGCAAAAGCGCCACCTAGTATAGAAACATTCCGATCCCCAGATACAGTTTGCCAATATTGTAAAGTAGACTTTAAGTTCTTCCGTGCCCTTAAACACCACATTAGATCTAGTAATAGTTGTAGACAAAAGCCTTATGAATGTAAAGTTTGCCATGTGGGGTTTTCCACAAAGGCAAACTGTTTGAGACATATCTTAAAACAGCATGCCCCTGTTCCTCAAAATCTCCTAGACTCTTATGTAACAATAAATGAAACGGCCTTGGCTGTATTTGAGAGAGACAATCTAGAAATTGCTCAAGCCCAAACTGCTAGATCAACCCAAATTACAACGCAATTACCAGTGCCCCCTATTGCCCATAATCCAAACCAGTCGCCCAAAGTCCCATCTTTCGGAAAAACCAAAATTGGAGGAACTTTTGCCCCAGATGGAATGTTTATAAAACAAGAGCCAGATACTATTCATGTTGGAGATGATCATGACCAACCTTTGAATCTATGTTTGAAAGCTGACACTTCCGTTTCCATGAACAACAATACCGCAACCAATGGCAACACAACATATCCATTGAACGATAGTAACAAGCTTGGGACAGCAGATCAACCAATAGATTTGACAGTGCATGGTAGAACAGGACCAGAGGCTTCAAAAGTGACCCTAGATGGTGGGTATATAGACCACAATAGTAGTGGTTCCCTGCATGCTAGTCCAGGTTTCTCACCACCAGGGGGACCTACTGTGCATGTTAAACAGGAAGTGATGCATGTGACTCCCTCTGGTGTCAGTGGGTCTAACTATTGTGATCCAGGCATGATGCGCTACAAGAAGGAGTACCAAAGATTCTATAACCCTAGGGTGGGTAAACTGCAGTGCCCCTACTGTAAAATGATATTCAAGCATGGTCTAAAGGTACTATTTCGCATAGTTTGCCCCTTTCTTGTGAGCTCGGCTAAACTCTTACATATCTGAAAGACATAAACAAAAAATGAAATGTATATTTTTGTTTTGTTTTGACATATCATTATGTGTGATGCATTAAACAAAACATTCCCTCAATTTTGTCTAATTTTAAGTTGTCATGTCAGATTTGTTTACTGCAATATTTGTTTACCCTAGCTCACTATTGTAGATACACGTAGTCGCTTTACTAACCCATAGAGCTTCAATCTAACATTTTCTGTTTTGATCATTTGAATATTTTAGTTGTGGGTGGATCATTGGATTATTCAACGGTAGATTATTGGATTATTCAATGGTACATGTAGATCATTGGATTATTCACTGGAAGATCATTGGATTATTCACTGGTAGATCATTTGATTATTCAATGGGACATGTAGATCATTGGATTAGTCACTGGAATATCATTGGATTATTCACTGGAAGATCATTGGATTATTCAATGGTACATGTAGATCATTGGATTATTCACTTGAAGATCATTGGATTATTCACTGTTAGATTGTAGGATTATTCACTGTTAGATCATTGGATTATTCAATGGTAGATCATTTGATTATTCACCGATAGATCATTGGATTATTCACTGGTAGATCATTTGATTATTCAATGGTACATGTAGATCATTGGATCATTCACTGGAAGATCATTGGATTATTCACGGTTAGATTGTAGGATTATTCACTGGAAGATCATTGGATTATTCACGGTTAGATTGTAGGATTATTCACTGGAAGATCATTGGATTATTCACGGTTAGATTGTAGGATTATTCACTGGAAGATCATTGGATTATTCACGGTTAGATTGTAGGATTATTCAATGGTAGATCATTGGATTATTCACGGTTAGATTGTAGGATTATTCAATGGTAGATCATTGGATTATTCAATGGTAGATCATTGGATTATTCACTTGAAGATCATTGGATTATTCACGGTTAGATTGTAGGATTATTCACTGGAAGATCATTGGATTATTCACAGTTAGATTGTAGGATTATTCACTGGAAGATCATTGGATTATTCACGGTTAGATTGTAGGATTATATACTGGAAGATCATTGGATTATTCACGGTTAGATTGTAGGATTATTCACTGGAAGATCATTGGATTATTCACGGTTAGATTGTAGGATTATTCACTGGAAGATCATTGGATTATTCACGGTTAGATTGTAGGATTATTCAATGGAAGATCATTGGATTATTCACGGTTAGATTGTAGGATTATTCAATGGAAGATTATTGGATTATTCACGGTTAGATTGTAGGATTATTCAATGGAAGATTATTGGATTATTCTATTGTGGATAGATCATTTATTTTTATGTGGATCATTATATTATGGAACTGCAGGTTGATCATTTGATTATTCATTTTTGATAATTTAGTTGTGGATTAATCATATTGTTATTTCAGTTTTACCTTTACCATTTGATTTATATTCATTCATGGATGTATCTTGTGATTATTCATCTTTGACTGGGTCATTTGAGGTGAATCTTGAAATCTTGATCAAAATCTAAAAAACAGGATGATGTTATTAATTTTTGAATGGATTTTCTTTGCTAAAGCTTTTACTTTAACCTTCTAACAATAATGTAAATCAATGTCATTCAATGAAATATTTTTACTACAGCACTAAGCTATTCAATGATTTGAGTCGAATATGCTTCATAAAACATATAAGTATATTTGTTTTAAGTAGTTTTTCAACAGAAAAAGATCACTCAAGACATGATATGATGTGATTCTGGTGCCAGAATGCAATGTGGATGCTGCATTACATATAGGAGTTACATGTAGCATATACATGTATTTACATCAATCAGATAGCCAGAAATTCAACAATCATTGAGTGACATTATGATTAGTTGTGTGCCCACCAAATGGTGCCATTTTCACATTCAATAGACATTAGTAGTTCTAAATATTGAGCAAGATATACACTTGTATATTCTGAGTTTCAGTAAAACAATTTAGGACATCTCGTAACATCTGATATGTAATCTGATTGGTTCATAAATGGCAACACCGATTCTGACTTCTGTAATATACTAGAACTGTTTTGTTTATTTTTTATTTGAATAGCAGGTTCTTATTGTATGTTGGATTTTTCTTGCATTGCCTTTCCTGAACATCAGTTTACATAGTGAAAACTCTGCAAAATTTAGAATAGATAACACACCCATGTCTATTTTTATTATACTTTTACAGCTCAACGTCCATCTGAGGTCACACACTAATGAACGTCCTTTCCAATGCTCTCATTGTCCAGCCGGATTTACCATCAAAACAAACCTTGAACGACATCTAAAGACACGTCACCCTTATATTGATGAAACAGCTCCATCTATTTCTCATGAACCACCCCAAAATAAATCCACCCATTCACCCCTTGAGGCTCATTTGCAACGCAGAGCTGTGAAACATGACTTAAAACCTCCAATGATAGTGAAACCAATATCTTTACCACCCACACCTAAGACAAGGCTGAGAAAGACCTCGGATGTACAGAAATTGACACAAGTGGATCAGTTGACAATAAAGTCTACTGGAGATGCTTCTGGTAAGTATTTATATACAGATATTGTTATTATACATTGTTTATATATGGTAGATAAATAGATACTAGATATATACATAGGTTATCTTAGAATAGTTCTAAACAAATTTTAATTTGTTTAAGTATACACTGTAGCCTACATTGAAATTGTGATTCTTCCATGATATAAATATTTGAAGTACCACGTAAACTTTATACTTGATTTTCAGGTTCAGATCCCAGTGGTGAATTGGCATCTGTATCCAGACTCCTGGAATCAGCAAGCACAAATAATTTTCACAACTTTTTCACTGAAAATGAAAGTGAATCCAGCTCAGCAAAAAATTCAACGAAAAGCTCAACTCCTAGCTCTGCAGATACAAAGCCTAGTGAAGAGGATACAGAACTGGTTAGTTTACCACCCTCCTGCTAATGTGACATAATTTCTTTATAAGTGTTTCATCATCTTTGACGTTGAGTATGATCATTCTGTGAAATCAACTTAATTGTGAAATCATGATCTTTTCAATATGTCATAATTTTAATTGTGGCAGGTTCTGAGTAACATCACTTTAACATGTGACAGAAGTTAAACATAGCACATATTGTTATGTGATCATCGTACCATCACCTGCTTTTGCAACATAACTCCATTTCCATGTAAATGTGACATCACCTTTTAGTGTGACATCTCTTTTGAATATAACAAATCAGTCGATCTTACATCAATATTTAATTGTGTGAATACAATGATTTATGCCTTTGAAGCTTATACCAGGTTTTATGTAAGCCATATTATTCATCAATAAATTGTTCTCCAGAATTTCAGTTTGATATCGTTGATATCTTCTTTCAGAGCCCTGACACATCTGAACACAAACCAGACACAAGTCAGCCATCCCAGGGTCCAGATTCCCCGGAGAGTGACTCTGGTAGTCCGGATAAAGATGGCGCAAAGAAGAAACGTAATTCATACTCTGATTCACCACGAAAACTGATGTGTCCATATTGTCCTAGATCTTTCCCATGGATCAGTTCATTGAGGCGACACATATTGACACACACTGGTGAGTTAATAGAAATAAAAAACTCACTTATAAGTCATAGTAAGCTTCATGACTTAGATTCATGTAAAACATACCCTCGATATATGTTTCTTAACTCCATGTAAAATTAATTCCATGGATGTCTTGATAAACATATCATTTCATGTTATTCATTTCATATCTCAGTTCATATTATTTAGTATGGCTGCATGCTTATGAATGTCCCTGTTTCAGGTCAAAAGCCATTCAAGTGTCCTGAATGTGGTGTAACATTTTCCACAAAATCCAACAGAGAGCGCCACTTGATCCGTAAACATGGACTGAACAACCTTGACCCTGAGACAAGAGCTATGATGGACAGACCTTTCAAATGTCACCTTTGTGAACACTGCTGTTTTACTGCTCCAGGTCAGTGGAAATTTCCATTCAAGTCCATGAGAATTTCCACCCAGACAGTGGAAAGTTCCATCATATAACACATAGATATCAGTTATTTGATTATCAGTTGTGTGCAGTTTTTTGTATAATGTTAAAAATTAGTATATTTCAAATGCAGGTAACCTGATGCGCCACTATAGAGAGAAGCACCCTGGGATAGATCCTCCTCCAGAGAACCTAGATGCGCAGCTGGGCATCACTGCTCCCAGAAATCATCTGGATCCAGAGTCTTCAAAAGCTTTTGCTTTGCTTGATGCACAAATAATGGAGAACAATCCAGAACTTGCTATAGATGAAGAGGTTCGTACAACTTTTACTTTTCAGTTCATTTAAAAAGAAGCAATTAGTTATTTTTGCCAATAAAATGTTCTAGAGAACATGTAAGTACTTATCACAGTTTTTCTAAGTAAACAATTTAACACGATTCTTTAAATTGAAAAGAAAGAAACCTACAATTTTTCATTTACAGCTTTCAAAAAGTTGACATTGTTACTTAATATTAAGTTTTGTATATAGGAACTCGAAGATGACCTTGACCAGGCCTCAGACACCACTGAACCCCTGGATGGTAGCTCCTTTCAGCAGACGACAAGTGAAACAGAAATACTAGATGCTCCCATTTTGAATGGAGATCCAAATGATGGAAGCAAAACGGCTGACACGGAGTCCATAAAGAGGGATAAGATCTCAAGTGATGGTGTTGAGACAAATAACAATGAAACAATGGTAAAGGAGACAAACACACCATCTTCACTTCATCTGAATCCTGAACGAGACAACTATAATGTCGATTTGATCACAGAGTGCTGGAAATGCAATCAGAACTTCTCCCAGCGCAAAGACCTTCTGAAACATCTTCGAGATCATAACATTGATCTGCCGTTTAAATGCTACCTCTGCGACGCATCATTTGAAACTCGCAAAGGTTGCCTCGAGCATAAAATATCCGACCATTCAGTTCACTGGAAGAACCTAAAGGACAAAGGAAAAATTGACAATATGGATGATCATATAAAAGCCATGGATCAGATGGTAGAAAGTACATTCAACTCTAAAGATGGCAATTCCGAGAAGCCAGCACAGGATGTAGACGACAGATGGGAGGCAACAAATCCACCAGATTATAACCAGCGTAAAGTTTACTGCTCTCTCTGCCCTAAGAGGTTTTGGTCGCTGCAGGATTTGAGGCGTCACATGAGATCTCACACAGGTATGTAAGATTCAACTTGGTAGTAACTCAGGAAAAGTTTAGTTCACGTACTATACAATAAGTCAGATGTAACTTCTCATTTATTATTACTTATTCTTATAATATTACCGTTACCTTACTTAGTCTCATAAAATTACTTGTAATTGTCCTTTTTGATTGCCCGATAGTTCTTGCAGAATGTGTAGAATCGTGCCACGCATTATGATTCTGAATACCATTCTCTTTCGTTCTTTAGTAAGAAAATATGATTACATATGTACTTTTAGTTGTAAACAAAAGTATACCTTTACTTTCAGGTGAAAGACCATTTGAGTGTGATCTATGTCAAAAGAGGTTCACATTGAAGCACAGCATGCAGAGACATAGACGCAAGCACACAGATGCTGGCGAAAATGTTAGTGGGAGCGATGACGAAGATACAGAGAACAAACAGGATATAGGTAACTATTATGAAAAATTATATATTTGGGAGTTCGATGACCCAGTTATGTCATATACCATATATTATATGATAAAATCCATGCAGGGATGGGGAGTGTTTCCAATGAATTAAATATTTAACCCTCCAATCCCACAAACCTGAGGAACCTGCCTTTAAGTTTGTAAATGATGTATGAAACTTGCCAATCATGTCTTAAATATTAAAACAGGCAAGAACATGTAATACTGTATGGGACAATGGAGATTCATTGTATAGATATCTAAAAAAATGTTACTTGTGAGTCATGATTAATCTCTATGGAAGATTGTATGTTTTATTATTACTTTTACCCATAAACATTTGAGGCAGTGTATATTACAAGATGTCCATCTGCTATTTACACATAATAATTTGAATGAAATGCTCATTGTTCATGCATTTCTATACAATTTAGAATCTTGATTACGTGTTTTAGTTACCTTTTGGTCACTGATTCCATATTTTAACTCTCAAATTCTACATTTCGAACCTGTATGCTTCCAGAGAGAACTTCACTTTCAACCAAGACACCAGACTCCATGTTTGGAAATGAATTAGGCCGGGATTCCCCTGGAATGATGCTCCAGTATCGTAGTCAGTCAAGTTCTCCAGCTGTTGGCTTTGTTATTCCTAATCGCCTAGGTAACCTGAAAGGAGAATCAAACAGTGCACGCAGCACCCCCACTTGGAGTGTTAGAGACCCGGTGCTTGGAGTGAGTTGATATTTTAAAACCCGGAAGTTGATTTAAATGGCAGGGGTGATAAATTAATGTATTTTTAAAAAAAATCTAGATTAACATGGATCAAATTCATATTTGTTTTAGTATACTATGTCCACTTTATATACAATACAGCACAGTGAATAATACCACCACAACATGAAGGCATTTTAAACGAATGAAAACAAGCCACAATTCAAGACATTTCTTGTAACTTTACATGAGACTGATCTGATGTATTTTGATGTATTCTGCATTATCAGTATATTTATTTTGGTTTTTATTATTTCAGTCAAACAAGGGACTATTTGATCGTGATTCACCAATGTTTGCAGAAGATCTGGACACATGTAGCTCCGTGGCAAGTAACGGCTCTGACATGCTACAAAATCTATTAGGAGTAGAAGGTGGTGCCATTGATCAAATGTTGAACTCTGGTGCAGATTCAGCTGCTAAACTATTAGGAGTGGATTAATGAACCAATAAATTTTGAGATACTGAAATTATTGGATTTATGAACCAATAAAAATTGAGAAAATGTTACCATTTAAGTGACAATAAGCTGGCACACTGGTACACATCATATGGATTTGGATTTGCTTTGTTTGTTGCTCTCTTACTATGACATTATGAATTTTCATCAATGGATTAAACACCTCTCATAAAGAATCAGATGAAATTGAGAATCGAAGAACAGTTCCCAACTGCCAAATGAACATGGTATAAAAGATAAATAAAGGTACTCATGATGTTCAAAATTGCTGATGACGTTCATCATAATAGTTGTCTATTTTTTATGTCACTCATTGTTTGTTGAACTTTTATCCCCTCTTGCATTTAAAAACTTTACCATTATGAAAGTCAATGTATGAGAACAAACAACCTACCGATGAGCAGAATATGGCACCATCAAAAAGGAGAAATGGTCGTGACATTATACATACAATTTTTTATGTAACCGGAGTATTACATATGGAAGAAAACTGAGACTGGGTGACATTGGTGAAGCATGTTGGCTTTAGCATTATGAAAATAGGTGTGATACATTTGATTTATAGCTTTAGTGATGATGGTATATAATCTCACGGATAAGAACACTTTGTTGTAAGATTTATAGGCTATAGAACTAACAAATGGTATAAAATAGATGACATACCAACAAAATATATATATATACATATATGTTACCGATTGTTTTCCCATTGAAACCATGATATTAGACATATACATTTACATGTAGATTAGTGCAGAATTAGTGTAGGTGATTACAAGAGGAATTAGATCAGGAAATATTTAATGCCATATAATTCAGGAAAATAATTGTGAGCTTTTTGTATTCTGAATTGTTTATCGCCTCTGTCAAATCAGGAAAATGTGTTGCCATTTAATTCAGGTGTAGATTATCAGGAAGGGTGCTGTTGTGACAGGTAGTCCCATAATAATAATAAATAAAATATGTGTTTCCACCAATTTATTTGGGACACTCTGTAATTGTGATTTACTATATATTAAGTAAACTATTTTGTATTTTATATGTACAATAATATGTACAGTATATATAACCTGTATGGGTACAGCAGAGAAACATATATATTTGCATTTTTGTTGTAGACATTTTTCTGGGCCTGTTTGTTTACACATTTTGTCATATAAACTTTACAATGCTTTGAAAGACCTTTAGCCCACCCTGTACAAATAACATAGAACTAACTAATGGTGTTATGAATACAAGCTAATTCTTACAATTGTTTACATGTGGTCTTCATTTTAATGGGGTACCTTAAAATTGTTTAGGGATTGGAATCTATTTAAATCAGTATTTTTACTACAAAGATATTAGTGTACATGTATTACAATTATTATTATGATATGGAATAATCATTTAGATTTTTATTATTTTATTTTGCAGTAACTTGCATTATGCTATGGAGCTCTACTACAGCAAATGTATAAGATGGTTGATTTCATTCATTATAATTGTTTTTACAAAATGACTTGTTTTAGTCTTGTATAAAGACCGTGTACCCCCATGTAGTTCACTTTCCCAACTCACAGATGAATGTGAAAAGGAATACCCAGTATTGGGGTAAGACTAGACTTGTTTCTTGATTGAAGATGTTTAGTATAGGTTATATTATGTTATATGAATGATCAAATCTGTTGAGGAAAAAGCCTGTTTTGAGGAATAAGAAAATGCATTATTAGTCCGAGATACAACCTGAGAAAGACATAAAGTTTTCAGATTTCTTCTCTGTCTAAAATTAATGAGGCTGAACTTCCTCAGATTCTAGTTAGCTTTACGGGATGTATAGAGGACTTTTATTTCAAGGAACATTTTCAGAATGTTACTGTAATTTTTGCTGTATACACATATGTTGATGAAATTCAGGACACAACTGTATTGGCTGCTTGTGGTCATTTATAAATGACATGGAACAATATAAGAACCAAATCATGCTTTTTATTATTCAAGTGTTTATACTACAATAATGATGCTGTTGATTTATAACATTTTTGATGTTGTACATATATATTTTGATAATTTTGTCACATGTAATAAAATACACCGGGTGAGTAAAATTTTAAAAAAAATTGACTCAGTTTTTTTTATTATTGATTAGATATACTTAAAATTTAAACAGTCAAGGGTGTGTATTGCACAGTCTACCCTGAAGTCTCAGATGTTCCTAGTGGGTGTAATAGATTGTAGTCCTCATAAACAAAATATACTTATTTTCAAAGCAAATGCTTCTTGACCAAAGATAGGTATTTCTATCACAAGTCTACAGATGTTTTTTCCAAAAGTTATCTTTGTATAATAAGCCTGAAGCCTATTTGTCATGATTCATTTCTCTTTTAAAGGGTTTTCTCTGTCAAAAGTCCTATTTTTAAACCATTTAGTCTACAATGGTTTCCTGGCCACTACAAGTCCCCATTTCTGGTCACCCATGGTGCATCTCTTTAGTTTGTCATGCCAACCATCTAGAATATACTGGTAGTCCGCCTCACCAAAATCCTGGAAAACACCTATGACATTATAATACTTTTGTTCAGTCCGTACTTTTTCCTCTAAATTGAAGAGGGTTTTTATTTATATCAGTGATTATTTACATTAAAACCTGTGTACAGTTAACACCTTTAGAGCCACAAAAATGTGTTCACTATAGGTAGGTGTTCACTACAGAGAGGCAATTCTATACAGAACTCAGTGAAATAGTACTCGGTGTGCTGAAAACAGGTGTCCACTCGACTCAAATGTTCACAAGAGGTGTTCACTAAGACAGGTTTTACTGTATTTGTCTGATGTTTTGGGGCATTGTTTTTTTCTACTTATCTCATCGTATTTATATTAAATTGTGAATTTACTGAAAAATAAACAACAAACTTCCAAGAGTTTCAGTTTCAGTACCCAAGTTTAAATGAGTAGTCCAAAACGACTAGAAGTATAAGGAGAGTGGTTTCAAAGTTGTTAACCTTTATAAATGTATCCCTGTTAGCCTCTGTTTTGGCAATCTCTCTATTGAGGATCTCAATAAACTGCCAAGTCCTGTCCTCAGCGCTGACATCAATGAACCCTGCTTCTGATACTACCTATAGAGTACAATAAAATAGTATGTGAAATAAGGCATTATTTTAATGATGAGCACAAGTATGCTCATCTTATTAATTTTACCATACATATGAAATATATGCCAAGTGATATTCTTTCTAAGAGGTCATCTCAATGACAGTCACGGTGTTCATAATGTAAACATGATTCAGCAATTTATAATATCTTAATCGCATAAAGCAGATTCTAACTTTTTAACTATATCTGAACCAGTTTCTGATCTTCATATATCAAAGTCTAACAAAAAGCAATAGTACTAGTTAAACAGTTAGGATCAATTGTATTCAACTATAGGGTGTCCACTGCACTGCCCACCTTTCCATATTGTTTAGGAGACATCAGATGGTACCCTCGTTGTTTAACATACTCTGTGTAAATGTCTGACCATTTGTCTTCTGTACAGCAATAGTCTGTTATGAGTAATCTTCCACCTGGCTTCAGCCATTTCTACAATTACATTTTATACATCATATTAATTTAATCGACTCTGGATAGAAGCCCAAAATGCAAATAAAGATTGTTTATAAATCATGAAAATAAATGGATGGGTGGGTGGGTGGATGTCACATAAAATGGTAAATAATCTTGTTTCACTCACAAGAAACTTTTTGAAAAGTCCCAATTTGTCTTCAATGTGTAATATGGTATCTCTACTGTACACAACATCAAAAGTCCCTTCTGGAAACTCTCTCTGGGTAGCATCACAAAGCTCAAACTGGACTCGACGATCTTCTCTTTCGTTGGCACGTTCATAAGCGATATTGATCATATTGGACGAAAGGTCAATGCCGAGGACATTAGCTTTGAATTTCTGAAAGAACCATGAATGTTAACAATAAGGGGAAGGTAAACATGGAATTGACTCTCCCAAAGTCCCTCGTTTAAACAATCTTTCTTTCTAAAGACACACTACATACAGGGTGTCCTGAAAGTATGGGGCCCCCCCTAGGCAGACATATTCCAGTGTCGTCATAGTATGTGTCATATATCATTTTAAAGCTTATCCAAAGTTACATTGATTTGCCAAGTATCATGGTTTAACTCCCAAATGGGAAAAAGTTAGAGTCATTTTAAAAGTTAGTGTTTTGTCAAAATAAAGTTCAATTTTACACCACATTACTAGTCAATGTGTCCCCCCTTGGCCATGTTAACAGCAGCAATTATTTTCAGATATGACCTTAAAAGCCCTTCGAATAGGGGTGTGGAATCTTATAACCCTCTTAACACCTGTTAAGGGACTTTAGAAGAGTTTCCTTAGAGTTTCTACCCTCACCGTTCTCTTTTTCCAACTCAATATCCATCCAACCCGAAAAGAATTTCTGCTGTTAAGATGGCCCGGGAGGACATATTGACTAGTGATTTGTTGTAAAATTGAACTTAATTTTGACCAAACACTAAATTTTGAAATGCCTGTAATTTTTTCACATTTGAGAGTTGAACCATGATACTTGGCAAATCAATGTAACTTTGGAGAAGCTTTAAAATGATATATGACACATACTATGACGACACTGGTATATGTCTGCCTAGGGGGGGCCCCATACTTTCGGGACACCCTGTATTGTACTAAGTATTTCACAGATTGAAAATGATTAATCTAAATACAGGTTTAGTCACAAACTTAGTTTTGTTACCTCTGCCATGTAGAATGCGCTGCCACCTATACCAGAGCCCACATCTAGGACTTGCTCTTCCTCCTGCAGGTCTAACATTCCAACAAACTCCTGAATACAGATATGGTTTTTTTCATTATGTTTACATAATAAAAAAAGGAAATTAATAACTACAAAATTATCCTATGATTCAAAAACTTATTGAATTTATGCTTGCAAATATTAATTACAATTTGGAACAAACATGAACAAATATTTATATTTAGAATCACTACTGCAAATTGCAATTACTATATTTTGTATTTAGTATTACTATTGCAATATCTTAACGTTGTAGATTTTAAGTTGACCTTGAGCAAAATTCCCTTGAAACCTTTTTACAACACTGTCACACTACCCTACCACGTGACCACGTTTAAAAGGGAAACAGGGGCTCGTTTTTCGTACGATCGTAACTTACGATTCCGAGAAAACCATTTGTCTCTGTTTTGATGAACAATGACTTGCGACCAAATCGTAAGTTACGATGGTTTCAAAAACGGACCCCAGGGTACAGCTAAGTTGCAAATGGAGGACGTGGGGTTAATATTTCTGAACGTAAAATATATTTTACATTTATTATGTTCTAATGTTCTACCAGACATAGAATTGATTCATCAAGCAGTTTGTAGAATATTGTTGGCAAAAAGCCACTGTAGGCAAAGATAGATAATAGTTGGCGCAATAAAGCAAAACTCGAATGCAATACACGATACATTTCAGTAAATCTATCAACGTACAGGGAGCATGTAACTTTCCCCTCGAAAATGCTACATTGATATGTAACAAAAAAACAGTTAACTGTTATTTAAACTGCATGTCATCGTGTTATATGTGGATGCGTTTTCTAGTATGTTATTCAACTGTATTTTTGTGAATTAATTGTTTTTCTAAAATCTAAAGATGCCGAAAAAAGTCGTCTCAGAAATGTATCTTTACTTTGCCGTAATTATATATAAGGCATAACATATTGTGAAACATTTTTCCTCTTGCCACAAAGAGGATAATGTTTGTTTCGAGGTGTCTTGTGAGCGTTTCATGATGAAATGCAAAATCAATGAAGCAGATACCATCCAAAAAGATCTGACATTCAACAATTCATATATGACTACATCGATCCGGTATTAGTAATACGACGTCGTATTACATACCCAGCGAAGCATTTGTATTGAAGTCAATGGAGCTGAAAGTCGGCTATATATTCCTGTATAGCCGCCAAACCTTTTACCATGACAATCTCATGACGTCATCGGGACGTCATGTTTCATTTCTTCCTAATTTCACTCGCACACAGACACGTGGCGTCATTGATATAACGTAGCCATGATATAAAAGTATAATGTAATACAACAGTTATGTCCGTATCATTGAATATATGCCTTCGGTCTGTCGTAATATAACCCTCGCAAGCTCGGGCTATATTGGTGACTTGTTTACTTGGTTACCATAGCAACGCCGTCGCGGATTCAGAATTGCCAACATCATTTTTCTTGGTAAGTATCACATATAGTTCATAAAAATATATGTCGCTTAGCTCGCCTCTAAAAAGGACACGGAATTACCTTTGCTCCCATACTATTAGGCATATATTCAATGATAGGGACATAACTGCTAAATATCAGCGCTACAGCAACTCGTGAAGAATAAAATGCTCCCAAGTCGTGGCATGATAGTATTTTGAACAATATATTTTAAATGATCGATTTTTGAGGACGGTAGTGAATAAGACCATTCAAGGGGTTATATAGAAAGATTCTTCACATGTAGTTCAGGCAATTTTAACTATTTTGAATAGCGGATAGTCATTAATACTGATAGCGGATAGTCATTTATCATTAACGTGTTCATATTTAATTTCGTTATTTCATTCCAATTTGATACCATAGTAACACATATAATCTAGCGTTCTTGTTAATTTAATGACTAAAATGCATATATACGACCTGAAAGCCCGTGTCTAAATCTACAAAATAATGTTTACTTTATTTGGATTAAATAACAATTGAGGACACCTCAAAGCATCAGCAGGCGGCCTTTTTAGCATTATTTTCACTGTTTGCAACGTAAATGTACATGAGATCGGGACATAGTATGTCTGTATAATCAGCTTACTTTCTCGCTGCCTGTACTATTGAACAATTTACATTCCTTGTACCCTGTATTGATCAACTTTTGCAACTGTGTACCGTGAACTATGACATATCAAATATTTTAAAATTTAAAACGATATTATTTACATTCTTTCTTCAACTATCATATAACTTGGAACATGGACTTCACTATTGCACCACCGAAGTTCAGAGAATAGCAATATTGACTCACTCCGAGCACCAAACGTATTAACCTTTTGACTTAGCAGTCGATATACTCAAAAGCGACATGGTTGAAAGTCGAAAAAATTCCCGCATGCGCGATCGAGGTAGGGTAGTGTGACTGTGTTACAAGTCAGCAATGCAAAATTAGGAGATGAGATTCTATTACCTTGGTAGTTTCAAGTCCACCAGGACTAATAAAATCTTTTCCAAATACCCTCTCATACTGCAGAATGCGATTACGACTGTATTGCTCATTATCTAGGAAATTCTGAAATGTCTTGTAACCATGGAAATCATCCATCTTGTCTGTATGTTTCTTTAGCAACCACCACACTTGTGCATGTGCATGTATTTAAATGCTGGAAAAAGAATGCGAATAGATTGTTTGATTTGAGGAAATATGATCATGTACACAAGTAAATATCTGAGTGTCCTCTCTGCACCTTGTCTTCTGTATATTCTGTATTATCAACAACAGTTTACAAATAAATAGATGTTTCACCTAGCATAAAGCAAGAAGTCCTAACTTCGGTAAAGTATACATGTAAATCAAACAACTTCTATAGTTGTCGATTAGCACTTGTTTATATCAGTGTTCACATCATCAATTATGATATAAGCACATGTACTAACATGTTCTAAAGTCTGAATATCAAATGTACTCGATTCACATCACGTTTACAACCTTCTACTGTTTACAGACATAAAAATCAAAGCCTTTTACATAAAAAAGATGTCTCACAGGTCATAAACAAGTAACTATAGGGTGGGCCAAAATTATGTCCATATTTTTTCATTTGGCAATATTTTTTCGATTGCGATTAAGGATTTAAGCTTTGGAGTCAGTGTATTGTTTGCTGAATCATATCATGGAGGTGTTGTTTCCGAACCTTTGCAACCTTTGTATGACCGCGCAGAATGCAGAAACAACGCCTGAGTGGAACGAAGTAGCTACAATGCATTGAGTCTTGGGCTTAAATTCTTTTCACACATTGCAATTTTTCTACAAGATCATCCAAAAGGAACGAAATCACTAAAAGAACACATTTTCAATGAACTTTTTTGCAAGGGTCAAGTTGGCAAGTCATCAAATCCAATGTGAAAAATCCATTCATCACCATGACAACTGTTTAACTAGTGACCTTGCATGTGTTATTGATATTTCACACACTGTTCTATATGTGAAATACTGTTCGGATTGGCTGGAATCGGACACACTTTGCCTAGCTATGTGTGAATATTAGTTCTTGAATGGTGGGGAAAGGGATATGAGACATTGTTTCTTTTCACATTACATCATGGTTTTGAGATATATGGGTTACAACCCCGGGGTTTGTTTTTATGACTGGTATACACTTAGCGTTTACTTTTTCTTGCTAGGTTCCATTACATCTTTTGGTAATTTCCCATTGGTAGCCTAGGCCTACTTGTGCTTAGGTACGGACTCAAGGTTACTAGTAAAGCGGTTGTCATGGAGATGCGGGAATAACCTTTTTAATTTTTCCTAGATTGGGATAATTGAATTTTTATTGGTTTCTGAATAAGAAATGCTAACATAGAGTTCTAAATGAAAATATACTGCTGTCAGAATAATATTTGAAGTAAAAATATGCATGGAATATTAGTACCAGAGTGACATAATCATTAGTCTGTCAGAGATAAATAGGTACAGGTGTTCAGTATATTCTGATATTTCTTTCACACAGAAAAAATGAAATATTAGATTATTAGAAGTATCATAAGACAAATAACTAACAAAATAATTTAGTTTTGAAATTTTTCGATTTATTATATATATCTCTTTCAAGCAACTGACAACGGGTCTTTTAATTATGACATCATAGACTACACGAATAGAACAAATAGATCATTGAATACATACAGGTAAAATATTCATTTAATTAAATTGCCATAGAAACTTTTCAAGTGCGCCCTTAAAGAAAATGATAGATATCGATATGGTGAACTGAATTCAACAATGTTTTTCTTATTGAAAACATTCTGTAAAAAAACACGGTCCTTTATGAAATGTTGACTGATTGGCAACAATTTAATGCAAAATTATTTAAATATATTTTATATAACTGTTTTTGTTAACATTTTTTGTTTTTTAGTTCAATTGATTTTTGTTCCTTTCTACCAATTCTTGAGAATGAAATAAAATGTCTTTCTGAACCGTGTTGAAACAAAATAGCATATACAACATTTTCTTAGACCAATCAATATTACAGTTATGCAAAGATTTTACAAAATGTATGCAAAAACTTAAAACAAAACCCCCCAAAATAGATAAAAATTAAGATATACATTTTATTTCATTAACAAGATACTTTTTTAAAATCAACCAAACTTTCCTTTGTACAATTACAATATTGAGATACCTAAACATGTTGTGTTTATGTCGTTTTGTTCCAATGAGGTTCGGATAGAAGTTTCATTTCATTCCGAACATATGATACCAAGAACAAAAGAAGTGTCTGATGTGTTTTCAAAAACAATATAGAGAAAAGATTATATATATATGTTTCAAATTATAATGTTACCATCCAAAAGATGACCATTAAATTGACGATGTGTAAAATGTTCAGAATGTTTTGATGACTGGTTTAAGAGAAGCGCGTGTTCAAAAAGTTCACCATATCGTACCACTCCTTTGAAACAAAACTATAGTTGAGATTACAAGGGGAAACGTAACGCTATTTGTCGTAGGGTTTGACAATACCATTAGAAAGGGAAAAGCACTGCCAGTTACACCACTATTTCATGCACTGAACACTATATCAACATAAAAAATGATGAAGATTCCATCATGATTGAGAAAGTTATTCCAAAATATTTAATACTTAAAGAAGGTAAAACTAAAATGTGGAGGTTACATCACCATTATTTATTTTTTATCAATGAATATTGTCAATATACAGGGTGGTCCAAAAAATGGGACACTCGTATTTCAAAAATAAATATTGTTTTTTTATGAAAACATGTCATATTATATACCAATGGATAGGGAATTTACTCATCTTTAATTTGGTATATCATAAGTTCAAATTTATTAAAATGTCTGTCAACCAGCATCCATAATATAAATGATGTCATTTTCGTTTCAAAACGGGTTTTCCAAAACTTGCAAAAACCAAGTTCTATTGTCAACTTTATTTACATAAACAGACGTTCAATATCATTATGTCCACCATTTTGATCAATTGTAGCCCTCAATTTTGGCCTAAACTGGTCAATAGCATCATTGACATGCTGTTGAGACAATGAATTTCACTTCTCAACAATTCTATCCTTAGTAAGGGACCGAGTAGATGTAACAGTAAGGGGTTCATGATAAACCAATTTTGTTAGATCTCCCAATATGTAGTTGTCGCAGATGTTGATATTAGATGATCCAATTATGTTTTTTGGACCATTCTGATAAGAGCTCATTTTGGAATCATTACATTTTCCAACAAGATGGGGCTCTAAGCAATAGAGCCCACAAGAGTGTCAAATGTTTAAAAGAAAATGTGTCTAGATTCCCCCCCCCCCTTTATCACTGCCTCCCCAGATCACCCGATCACCCAACGTCTGCGACCAACACGTATGGCGAGAACTAACAGAATTAATGTACCATAAATCCTTTTACATCTATTCAGTCCGTGAAAGACAGAACTATATAGAAGTGAAATTCATGGTCTCAACAGCATATCAATGATGCTATTGACCAGTTTAGGCCAAAATTGAGGGCTACAATTGATCAAAATGGACATATTGAACGTCTGTTTATGTAAATAAAGTTGACAATAAAACTTGGTTTTTGCAAGTTTTGGAAAACCCGTTTTGGAACGAAATGACATCATTTATATTATGGATGCTAGTTGACAGACATTATAATAAATTTGAACTTATGATATACCAAATTAAAGATGAGTAAATTCCTTATCCATTGGTATATAATATGACATGTTTTCATCTAGAAAACCAATATTTATTTTTGAAATACGAGTGTCCCATTTTTTGGACCACCCTACCCCTGTAAATTCATTAACATCAAAATATAAAGATCTCATTTACAAAATATTAGCCTTTTTCATTCTAGTCAAGGTGATTCAACGAAATGAAATCTCCAAAACTCATGAAATGTATAATATTGATAGAGTTTTTTATTTTATTTTTTATCTTCCTTCAAAGTCACCAAGCCATTACATCATGAAAGTCCTTTTCCTCTTTTAAAGGGGTTTCTTCTGTCATAGGTCCTATTTTTAAACCATTTAGTCTACAATGGTTTCCTGGCCACTACAAGTCCCCATTTCTGGTCACCCATGTTGCATCTCTTTAGTTTGTCATGCCAACCATCTAGAATATACTGGTAATCCGCCTCACCAAAATCCTGGAAAACACCAATGACATTTCCTCTAAATTGAAGAAGTTTTTTTTATATCAATGATTATCTATTTGTTTGACGTTTTGGGGCATTGTCTTTCTACTTATCTCATCGTATTTATACAAACCACAAACTTGTTAAAGTTTCAGTTTCAGTAGCCAAGTTTAAATGAGAAGTCCAAAAAGACTAGAAGTACAGGGTGGTAAAAAACTGGAAACCCTTACACCATTTTCCTCATATCATTGATATTTCAAAAAATAACTCCCTGATATTTTATTGATAGTCACAATGTTACATCACTTTAAAGAACATGCCCCAGTCGCCAGTTTTGCACTGTTGTCAAACCTGCACACATCGTTCAAAATGTCCCTTCTTGTGGGAATATGGCAGAGATAGGGTGTATGAGAATGACCTCAGGACAATTGCAGACCTCAAAAGTGAGATCATCTGTATCATTCAGGCCATAGGCGCGGAGAAATGCATTCGGGTCATTGACAACTGTGCAGGTTTGCCTACAGCGCGATGATGGCCAAACCTGAAGTATGTTGTAAAAAATGTTGCAAAGTGCTGTAAAATTGACTATCAGTCTGATGTTCATAAAATTGAAAGATGGTAGAGTGGTAGGAAATTGAATGATGTACAGATGTGTGAAATATCTGGGCGTAATTCCTTAAAATGACAAACATATAAGAAAAATGCAGGGTTTCCGTTTTTTGACCACCCTGTATAAGGAGAGTGGTTACAAAGTTGTTTACCTTTATAAATGTGTCCCTGTTGGCCTCTGTGTTGGTAAGCTCTCTATTGAGGACCTCAATAAACTGCCAGGTCCTGTCCTCAGCGCTGACATCAATGAACCCTGCTTCTGATACCACCTATAGAGTACAATAAATAGTTTATGAAAACCATTATATCTATGATATAAAGACTATTACTATCTAGATATCTACTTAATTTAGATATATGGCTAAGTGATATTGTATCCAGGAAGTCTCAATGTTGTGCTAGGCTTGATCGATATTGTATACAACTATAGGGTTCACATCCTACCTTCCCATATTGTTTAGGAGACATCAGATGGTACCCTCTTTGTTTAACATACTCAGTGTAAATGTCTGACCATTTGTCATCTGTACAGCAATAGTCCGTTATGAGCAATCTTCCACCTGGCTTCAGCCATTTCTACAATCACATTTTATACATCATATTAATTTAATCAATTCTGGATATCAAAATTAAAAAAAAAATAGGAGCCCAAAATGCAAATAAAGATATGAATGAAAATCAATAAATAAATGGATGGGTGGAGTGCCACATAAAATGGTAAATTATCTTGTTCCACTCACAAGAAACTTTTTGAAAAGTCCCAATTTGTCTTCGATGTGTAATATGGTATCTCTACTGTACACAACATCAAACGCCCCATCTGAAAACTCTCTCTGAGTAGCATCACAAAGCTCAAACTGGACTCGACGATCTTCTCTTTCGTTGGCACGTTCATAAGCGATATTGATCATATTGGACGAAAGGTCAATGCCGAGGACATTAGCTTTGAATTTCTGAAAGAATGATCAGATCGTACAGAACATTAATTATAGATTAACGAGTAAATATAAATACTAAAGTAATAATATGTAATGTTTGATACAATGAATGAATAGATATAGCAAAATATGATGAAAACGCACAATCTGTTGTATTAGTATCTAGGATGATGTTTTCTTCATGCTAGGATACATTCAGTACGTTACCTCTGCCATGTAGAATGCACTGCCACCTATACCAGAGCCTACATCTAAAACTTCATCCCCCTCCTTCATGTCCAACATACCAACAAACTCCTGAAAATTACAGGTGTGCTATGTTTGAGATTTGATAGAACAAAAATAACCATATACAAGTACAAGCCGTTTTGAATACTAGTAATGTCAACTTAAAAACTTACATTGACCTGTTACGATGTATATTGCCAGTAAAATCTCACTGACTTTTACAGTTATGAAAAAATGAATACAATTTTTAATATATCATCGAGTGATCTATTTTATCATGTAACTATGTCACCTTTGTTGTTTCCAGGCCACCAGTGCTGATGAAATCTTTCCCAAATATTTTCTCATATCGCAAGATACTATTCCGACTGTATTGTTCATTATCTAAGAACTCCTGGAATGTCTTGTAACCATGGTAATCATCCATCTTATTTATCTGTTGTTTCTGTAGCAGCCACCAAACTTGGTTAGGATTGTCCTTATGCTGGAAAAATAGCATTGTTATATTTAAACTCATGATATGCAGGTTCAGCCAAAAACAATATTACAATCTGTTTATCAGTATTTATGTAAGTATGATGTTGTATTATATTTTTTAATTTATTGCTGCTAATATTATTAAATAAAATTATACTTTGACTACTATAATTGTTATACTTAATGTATGAACAAATTGACTTCGAAAATGTAGACATTATACTGTTATAACACTATATGTATTGAAGACTCACACCAAAATAATTGTTTATCTAGTTTATAAATTGCACTTAATAAAGCTATCGCTGGTGGTCCAAAGTCATGAAGATGAAACAATTTAATTAGTGTTCATAAAACTTCAAACTAGATAAACGGCAAGTCCCGTCCCACCGAACAAAATATATTTTATCAAATTATGAGCAGGTATTTTAAATAAACAATTGAAAAAATACTGTCATGGAGACTTCCTTTATTTAGATTGCGCGTAACTTCTGAACTTCAGTATTCATAATTTAGATTAAAACAAAAATGGCTGATTTGTTAATAAGCATTCAATCTGTTAGTTGCCAAATGTCCTATGGCTATGAGGTATCAGTAAATGAAATTTGAAACTAATAGAATAATTGACGTTTGAGATATCAAAAAATTAAGAAAATTGGTGGCCATTTTGAATTTAGTGGCCATGTTAAAAATTCTTGAACAGATCACTTATGCCTATAAGGCACCAGCCTTTACATTTTGAATTAAATTTAAGAACATTCAATTCAAACATTCAGATTATCAATTTCAATGTGTAAGCCTACGTGAAAATTGTCCAAGTTTTTAACAACATAACAAAAATACCAGGATAAAGAAAATCACACCTATCATCCTAGACGGGTGACTGTTAATAATGCATTGAATATTTACAGGGGGTGGAAACGCGTAGGATATTTTGATTCGAAAAGCAGATAGGTGTAGTTTTATTTGGTAGTCTGTGAACGTTACTGTTTCACCTGCCGATGCACTCAGCACGTTCCCAGTACTTTGGGGAAACATTCCATCGTTATATATGGAGAGTCACCCATCTAATTTTTCTAAAATGTGGGGTTAACTACTTTTTGAACAAAAATTCAGTGATATAACCCCCCATAATTGAAAAACTAGAGCTTCAAGTGTCAATATGACGATTGAGTGTTCCCCGATGTTTTGGGAATACATTCACAGACGAAAAATTAAAACAGACACCTACCTGATTTTTGAATAAAGGTGGCGATTTAGTAATGTATTCCTGTGTTCTCCACGAAAACACTCTAAGCGGTTTTATCCCCTGATTTACATTTCTGATTTATCAATTTCTCTAGACCTTTTACTCTTTTATGTTTTCCAAGGGATAGTAAAGGCCATAGATCCCACAATGTACCAAACAATGTTAATTGAATAAGATTTGTGGTGCAGAATAAACATGCCAAAAATGCTAAAAATTACCTTGATGTAAGTTTGAACTGAGCTCATACGTTTCAACGCAAATATGGAGATGCTTTCTCTATCAGTGGAATAAACAGACTGGAATATTTTCTGATAGCAGGCTGGATCTCTGTATTTTGAAGGATTCTGGAGTCGCTGGGTGTTTCCTAAAATGTGAAGAAAAAAATTTACATACCTTTTGATACCAAGTCAACAGTTTGAATTCTATTTAATATTTATGTCTATTGCCTTTGCTTATTGCTATTTTTAAAATCTTTCTTTACTAACATTAATACTTTTTGTTCAACTATGGTAGCCCTTGATGATAACTGGAGGTCACCCAAGCGGCAGTCGACCAGCAAGTACAATAAAACTATACGTTTACCAGCAGCCGGCAGTTAAATTCGTGAATACTACTCAATAACTACCTGATGGATGGAAGCATGATTCTCGGAAGAAAAGATAGCCATCTTTGCGTAACCATAGCAACATTTTCTTGGCTAGGTCTGCAACTTCATCATTGGAGAGATACATCAGCAGCCAGTTAGAGAACACAATGTCTGCACTGTAAAAGAAAAGAAAAATATGCATCGGAAAAAATTGATAATTGAAACCGATACTGTATACAAGAAAATATAAATGCTACTCACTCTTAATACACATTTCTTTTTATTTGATTTAATAATAATTTTAGCGAACTATCAATTTTTTGCAGACCTCAGCAAACCACGCGCCAAATACTTTTCTGAACGGAGAATTTATACCTGTTGTAGAGCAAATTCAGCTTGGTAACATCTGCGCACAATACTTCCACATTACCATAGGAACCGTTTGCTTCTTTGTTCTTTTCACAAAAGTTTTCCATAAAATCAACAGCTATTATAGACTTGGCTTTCTGGGCAATCTCTCCGGTGAATCGACTGGAAATACAAGTTAGACTTAGAACGTTTTTGTACGTTGTTGTAGGCCATGGGACACTTTTATGGTAAAAGGATGTGGGATTTGTTCTTATTAATATGAAGTGATTATATTGCATTTATAACGAACATATTTTGATCTTCAACTACGCTACATTATTTTCGTTGCTTATATTTAACTTCAAACCACTTATCATGTTTTCAACATATACCATTGTATGATGGTAAATATTCAATATAAGACAATTTACATTACGTACCCTATTCCCGCTCCAAGTTCTATGACATCTTTTGCTTTGTAGCTAGGCAACAATGCCAAAATCTCTCTCTCCTCAGCCACATGTAGACTTGAGGCATTAGAGTCGAGCATCATTTCTTCAATTGTCCCTTGGATAGAGTGACGTTTCCAGTATCTGCTCATATTACCACGTACCTCTAAAATGAATGGTTGATTAATTTTTGAAAATGAAGATACGACCATAAAACAATAATAAAAATATGAAATTTAACCACATATTTCCCCCCAAAATAAATCAGACTAATAGAGAAAATATCATTACCATTATCCAAATCTGCAATCTTCGCCATTTTCTAACGTCACAGCCAATAGCTTAGTTTCTTGATAATTCGATAATCACTGATTTCTTTCCCAATTATATGTTTTGTTTTATTGCCTTCTCAGATCAGATGTATAGCTGTTCTTGTCCTAGAAAAGCTTCGGCTGCGGCAATTATTATTTCTTCCTCGCTGGCTCATATCTTTAATTGTCCAGTTTCAGTAAATTGTTCAGTAAATTGTTTTAATATCTGCAGTTTGCGCAAATTAGAATTCCGATTTTTTTTGTTTGTTTGTTGATTATCAAAACTTCTGCCTCTGGTTTGTTATACTATGCATATAGATAGATAGAGGTTTCTTCTTCAAAATGAATCATCAGTGGTCCTCAAGAACTTATATAGCTGTTCATATACATGTACTTTAAACTTTGCACATACATATGATAACGGTTGGCACATTAACATCTCACCACCCACGTCACTATTAATTAACAATAATTGACATTGTAATTGAAGAATATAAATATTGTTTTAATGTTTTTTTTATGAGGTAAAAATTTCATAATAATATAACATATTTTCAAACATTACACGGGGCCTTTAAAGAATATCTGGAGGTCATTTGCCACATCATATGAATAGGATGGTCTAAGGTGCAAGCGTTCCAGAATCCAAAGTTTAGATAAGTTTGTTTTAAAAGTTTAAATTATAAATAATAAATGCAAATATATGGCACGTAATCGTATGTCTACGTAGAAGTTTTTTCTATGTTTTGTGAACTTTCTTTATTCCTAAATTCATCAATTTCAGCTGAGCATAGGAAACACGAATATAAAAATAACTATCTTCTTTAAAAATACGAATCAATTTCTCAGCATTTTACTGTTTTCATGAATGATATGTACTTCACTGAAAAAATGAAACAAACAATTAATCATAAATGGAGAAATAACGATATTTAGAATCACCTGTGCCTCATTACATTACATCAGCTGATATCATATTCGCTTTTGAGATCAGGCCATAAACCACAAAGCACAACTTGTTAATATGAACACTGTTTGTAACAGAGTGGCTCAAATATCGATATTCCATTCCAGAGTAAAGTAATTGATAGGAGGGACAAAACTCTCAAATATTCAGAAATTCAATATTTAAAAAATATAAAACATCACAAATTGCTGTCATTTAGGACATCACAAATGACAGTTGAATAAATTAATGGGGACTTATTTTTGCGAAACAAGGGCCGATTCAAAAGTTCTGATAAAAATGCTCTTACTTAAAAGTTCATATTTTGTTTTCCATAATATTTTCAGAGAAACTGGGTCATTTATTGCCTCATAACATATAAACAATTTAGTTGCTCGTAATGAATATTTCTGAAGTTATGGTTGCTATGGTAACCTCAATGACGCTATAGCGGGACAGGGTAAAATTAGTGAAGTTTAAATTTGGGTTTCTTTGAACAAATGATCGAAACCTGATTACAAGGTTACGTTATTCTACAAATGTCTGTTTTAACAGTAACTGCTGTTGCCGTTTGATTTGACCACACACGGTACATTAGATAATTAGGACCGTGATATGAAACTATATTCCAGCGACACTGGTGTTCACATGGAACAGGTTTTAGTGTACAACATACAGAGAAATAGTTTTATTGCATCAGCAAACATCAGCAAACTGACATGACAGTACTCAGTACTTGTTTTATCTCTAAAAAAGCAATGATGTACGTTTCAATGACAAATCATCTCAAGACCTATGATTTAGACTCTAAAAAAGCAATATGATGTACGTTTCAATGACAAATCATCTCAAGACCTATGATTTAGATAGCCAGATAAAACTAAATTGTGTGACTTCCTGACAAAAGAGGAAATGTGGCAGTAGCAGAAAACATCCTTAAAATGTATATTCTTTACTAAGTCCTAATGAAGAACCTTGTGGTATATAAATATACCATTCATGGTTACCAACGATTCAATTTAAGAAAGATTTGATAGAAGCATACTTGGTTGATTAAAAGTATCCTTTTCAAATTTATAAAGAAGTAAATTGAGAGAGACAGTGTCAAATGCAGCCGCTTCATCTAAAAAATTTGCTTTTGATAACTCAAGTTTGTACATGCAATTACAATAATATGGTCATGCGTAACATGTCCTTTTAAAACCTTTACAATAGTCGATCTCTAATGTTTGTTAAGACAGCAAATTTTCAAGTTAATACTCTTCCAGTAGCATTGTTTTCCCTGGTTTTTAACCATGGTTATCATCCATCTTATTTATCTGTTGTTTCTGTAGTAACCACCACACTTGGTTAGGATTGTCTTTATACTGGAAAAACAGTAGAACATATTCAAATACTAGTAAGTAAACAGGATTAACGCACCCCCAGAAAAAATAAAATTATGTTATATCCTGTTATGATAAAGATGTCTTGCCTATTGGTTTCCACTAAAAATTACACTATAAAAAGCATCAAACAGTAAAACCTTTGTATACAGTATTGTAGGCCTACATATAAATGTAACAACATGTCTATAAAATGATAACATTTTCTAGCATTTTTTGATGTCTTCTGAGCCAGAAATACTTGGGAGCAGAATAAAGTGTTGACATGCGATTAAAAAACATTGATATATCTGATATTTGCTGATGGATGAAAGGATGGGCATACAGAAAAACGAATGGATGGATTGTTAAAAGGATGAATGAGTGATTCAATACGCAGACTTGCCAACCTAAAATGGAAAATTTGCGGAAGATTTTAAAAAATTTGCGGTACTTTTACGGGGGATTTTTCCAAAATCCGGTATTTTTGCGGGAGTTTTTTTTAAATGCTGTAGTTTTTGCGGGAAATTTTTGCAAAAAACGGTAGTTTTAACGGAAGTTTTTGAAAAGACGGGAGTTTTTGAGGCAGATTTTGAAAAACGGGAGTTTTTACGGTAGACTTGAAATAAAACGGTAGTTTTTTGCGAAAGATTTTTTGTTAAAAAGTAGAATTTTTTCGAAAAACGAAAGTTTTGCGGGAGATTTTGTTTTCCGGGAGATTTTTGGAGAATATGGTAGATATAAGCAAAAAGCAAAAATACGGGATTTTACGGGAGATATTAGTAAAAATACGGGAAATTTCAGCAAAATTACAGGTGATTTTACGAAAAAAATTTACGGGAGATTTTAGTAGAAATACGATACGGGAGTTTACGGGAGTGTTTACAGGAGAAAACGGCACGGGAGTTGAGTTATTTTTTACGGAAAAACAAAAAATTTACTGGAGATTCCCGTAAAAAACGGGAGGTTGGCAGGTCTGCAATACGCGAAAGACTCACAATGTGAGCCAATTAACCATTTGCTATAGAGAGATAAATAGATGGCAGCACGGAGTGTTGGTAGGGCCAGAATACAAACTCCCTATTTTTGCCTCACCTTGATATACGTCTCCACTGAGCCCCTCTGCTTTAACTCAACTCTACAAGTGCCGTCTTTATCAGTGGAATAAACTGACAGGAATAATTTCTGATAACTGGCAGGATCTCTATATACTGTAGGATTCTCAAGTCCCAGAGTATTTCCTAAAATGGGATCGCTTATTAAAGGGTGGCGCATATCGTTTAGCAAATCGAACGCTCGTTTCTGGTGTTGTTCACCGTTTAGTATAAAAGAACCGATCCCGGAATAATACTCAAGGGTTCACAGGCTTGAGGTCGTTGTGTCGAAACACCTCTAATGGCTTGGTCACATTTGCTACGATTTACAGTACGGCGCCCGGCCGATTGAGTATTTTGTTCAAAATTGAATACAAATTTGAACAAAACACTCAATCGGCCGAGCGCCGGCCGATGGATCGGAGCAAATGTGACCCAGGCATAACTGTTATTTGATCGTCACACATTTATAAAAGGGAGCTTTTTATTTTGACAAATCAATTTCACATTTCTGGGTGAAGTTTTGGGATCTTCTATTTGTGTATTTGTGACGTAGCACCTTCTGCGTTATATATTACCATACTCAGAGCTTGCTGTATTGTATAAGCATATGCTTAATAAATGAGAATAAATGCAGCTTGTGCAACATAAAATGAGATTAAATAATTAGATTGCAGTATATGAATTAAGGTGCTGCGTCTGTAAACAATAGCCATGTAATACCCCACAAACAAAGCTCTTTTTAAGAAGTGAAGTCAAACGAATGCAAAGGGTATAAAGAAACATGCAAAGCACGGGAATGAAGGATGACATACCTGTTATTATAGACTACGGCCCACTCTGATAATTGTAACTCCTTCCTTACATGAAAGGTTACACATTCCAACCTATTTCAAACCATCTGTATGATGATACTAGACACTTTCTGGGTAGTTGGACTTTCTATAGGGGTGGCAGACGGCCCTCAGACCATTTTATACCCCCTACCCCCCAAAAAACATGGGGGTACTTTAATACCACCCCATAAAAAGAATACTAATGCATGTCAGATATTCATTGTTTTATATTGGGTAGGGCATGTTATGGTTAATAAGTGCCAGAAATTTCCAATCTCTAACTGATATGGTTACCATAGAAACAGTATTTATATCTTGAAATATTCTCAATTTGACCCCCTCCCAAATGTGTCCTTTTGATCTCAAAGTGAAATATTTGCAAATCTGTTTGGATTTTATGGCTGCTACTTTGTCAAAAATTGTATCAATATGTATATTTTAACATTTAAACACTGAAAAGTGTTCATAATGATCCTTTAAATCAATAATATTTATTATCAAATATAGTCACACATAGCTGCTTTTAGGGAAAAGTGGGCGTGACACTTTTTGGTACGTGTGTACTTGTTGCAGCATTAAATGATAAATACATATTATACTAACAACAATTGACATTTAATTAGCATCTACTTATGTTATGTAACATTGTAATATGTTCATTATCATTATTAGACACTTTAGATATTTTATATCAGTGTTATCCTGACCCTTCCCTTTATCCCTACACCCTTCAAGGTGGGCATTACCAATCGTGTCAAGTTAACATTTCTGTTTGATTTATTTTTACCATAGACAAGGTATAAAAGCTTTACCATGAGTACTGACCTTATTAGGTGCTAAACTGATGAATGGATAGGTAGATGACAGCACTTGTGCTGGTTGGACTACACGCTAGCATCTACCATAGACACATATTGATTTACCATATTTGTTATTTTGGATTAAAGTAAAACTGCTTTCGCATCAAACTCAATGAGATTCAGATTGT